GGGCTACAAACTAATACAGCCTCTATGGAAAGAAATATAGAGAATCTGCAAAAACCCAAAAGTAAACCTTCCATTTAATCCCACAATCCAATTACTAGGTATCTACTGTGAAGAAAAAGAATCATTTTACCATAAGGACATTTATACTAGAATGTTTATTGCAGCTGAGTTCAAAATCACCAAGATGTGAAATCAGCCCAAGTGCCCATCAACCCATGAAGAGATTAATAAACTGTGGTATATGTGTATCATGGAATACTATTCAGTCATAAAGAAAAATGGAGGCTCGGTGCTCATAGCACAGTAGTTATAGTGCTGGCCACATATATCCTGGTTGGCAAGTTCAAATCCAGCACGGGCCAGCTAAATAACAATGACAACTGTAACAAAAATATAGCTGGGGATTGTGGTGGGCACCTATAGTCCCAGCTCCTTGGGAGGCTGAGGCAAGAGAATTGCTTAAGCCTAAGAGTTTGAGGTTGCTATGAGCTGTGATGCCACAGCATTCTACTGAGGGTGACATAAAAAAAAAAAAAAAAAGAAAGATGGAGACTTTACATCTTTTGTATTAACCTGGATGGAGTTGAAGAACATTCTTCTTAGTAAAGGATAGCAAGAATGGAAAAGCAAGTATGCAATGTATGCAATACTAGTATTAAACCAATATATAAGCAACTACACCCCCACATTAGAGAAAAACACAGTTAAATTCAGGCGGGAGAAGGAAGGAGGGAGAGGGAAAAGGAGAGGAGGGAGGGGAAAGGTAAGCTCTCACCTAACATGTACCATGTAAGGGTATACAGCACAGCCCCTGGGTAAAGGGCTCAACCACAACTTGAACTATACCTAAGAAATGCAAACAATGTACCATCATCATTTGTACTCTCCTATCAGTCTGAAATAAATAAAATAAAAATAAAACAATAAAACCAACCCCTCCCCCAAAATTACAAGGTTACAGATTTTAGCTTCTAATATTATTCCCTACTAATATTTCAAGGTTGAGGCAGGGAAGGAACAAGACTAACCTAGATGAGGCCAGCACGGTGGCTCATGCCTGTAATCCTAGCACTTTGTGAGTCCAAGGCAGGAGGATTGCCTGAGTTCACAGGTTCAAGACCAGCCTGAGAAAGAGCGAGACCTCATCTCTAAAAATAACCAGGTGTTGTAGCTGGTACCTGTAGTCCCAGCTACTGGGGAAGCTGAGGCAAGAGAATTCTTGAGCCTAGTAATCTGAAGTTGTTGTGAGCTGTGATGCCATAGCACTCTACTAGGGGCGACAAAGTGAGACTCTGTCTCAAAAAAAAAAAAAAAATACTAATTTATATCAGACTGTGATGCCATAGCACTCTACTAGGGGCGACAAAGTGAGACTCTGTCTCAAAAAAAAAAAAAAAATACTAATTTAGATCAGACCAACTTTGTTATGACCGAAAGTAAGGAAGATTTTTTTTTTTTTAATGATGATGACTTGTAAAAAGAATATAGGAACCAGCCTGAGAGGTACCCAGGCTTGCCAAATATGGAACAATTTGCACGTTACAAAAATGAACATTTTTGGCTCATTCTTGAATTACTAGCTACCTGGGAGGCTGAAGCAAGAAGACTGCTCATGGGCATGAGTTCAAGACCAAACTGGGCAACACAGCAAGACCTGGTTGTTAACATTTTTGTTTTTAAATTAGTGGGGCATGGTGGTACATATCCAAGTCCCACCAACTCGGGAGGCTAAGATGGGAGTATCCCTTAAACCCAGGAGTTCAAGGCTGCAGTGAGCTATGATGTCACCACTGCACTCCAGCCCGGGTGGTGAGACCCCATCACTAAAAAGATAATATAATGAAAACCATTAGTAGATTATATCCTATTTAAAAAAGAAACCTGATGATTCCATTGCTCAGATATACAGACAAGAAGGGAGAGCTCTTGCTTACAGTAAGTTGTCACTGCTGATGGGAAAAGGTAGAGGGAGTCAGAGTTGGAAAGTAATCATTCTGCAATGATCATAACCAAAACTGGAACAGACACAAATCATCAGTAAATGGTGAATCTGGGGGAGCATGAGTGATGAGCTGCAGGATATTTGCATAGTCTTACGGTGTCTTTCTACAGATTGCTTATTAATTGCCAGCATAAAATAGCAATATCCAGTAGAGAAATCTGACAGTCACCTGTCTAGTCACCAAAATCAGCCTCATCAAAGAGGAGCATATAGACACTGTGTACTTCCAGATGTCTACACCTGGACGGACACCCTCAGACAGACACTTATGTACTAGTCCAACTGCTGATGCGCAGCCTGAATCTAATAATGAGACACACTAGAAAACACAAAATAAGAGACATTCTATTAAGAGGGTGAAAGGGAGTTATATTATTCAAAACTTGCGGGAGGCGCCTGTGGCTCAGTGAGTAGGGCGCCGGCCCCATATACCGAGGGTGGCGGGTTCAAACCCAGCCCTGGCCAAACTGCAACAAAAAAAATAGCCGGGCGTTGTGGTGGGTGCCTGTAGTCCCAGCTACTTGGGAGGCTGAGGCAGAAGAATCACCTAAGCCCAGGAGTTGGAGGTTGCTGGAGCGACTCCGCTGCACTCTACGGAGGGCAAAAAAGTGAGACTCTGTCTCTACAAAAAAAAAAAACAAACTTGCAAAGTCATAAGACAAAGAAAGGCTGAGTAACATTCCAGATGAAAGGAGACAAAAGAAAAATGACAGCTGAATGCAACATACGTAATGTGTCCTGGATCCTGTGCTGGACGAGAAACAGGTAGGGGCTCCATTCTTTTATTAGGTCAAATGAAAAAATTGGAATATGGCCAGTAAATATTACATTAATGTTAAATTTCCTCAGATAGATAACTGCACTGTTTATGTTCCTTTGAAATATCTACTCCAGGATTTAGGGTAAAGGAAGATGATGCGTGCAATTTTCTTTCAAATTGAACCTGAGAGCTAACTTGGTTAGGCCCACCAAAATGGGACTCACCTTGCTTGCTTTTAGCCACTGGCTCCTAGTTGATTTTAAACCTACATAGTTAAAAGTTACCTAGCTAAGCAATCCTCTAGGTTTGTTATAGATAACATCTCTGACGTATATATCACCATGGTAACAGTTGCTTACAGTTGTTTTTCAGGAACTAGAGGGCAGCTCCAGTCCAGTCTGAAGCAGCTGAGGCCACCAGACCTTCAAACGGGCCTGTGCAAATGTCTAAGAGGTGACCTTTGATGTCAGAAGAACAAAAATTCCTCCCTTAGATCACGTTAATGCCGCCATTTTCTAAATACAGAAGCTTTACTCCTGTGCAGATCACCAGATACCTCACTTTCCCTAACCTCCAATCACCTTCTCCCACTCCTTAGACTACTCTGATTCCTTACCCCATAAATATCCCTAAGCCCCATCTTCAAGGAGGTAGATTTAGCATTTGTTCTCTTGCCTCTTTGCTTGTGAATAAACCCTTTCTTTGAGGCAAAACTCATCTCAGTAATTAGCATACTGGTGTAGCAGGAAGAAAGATCCTGGTTCAGATTCAAAATGGTTCTGAAAAGAAAAAAATGTGGGCAGGGGAGAGGAGAAGAGAGGGAAGAAGAGAGAGAGAGAGACAGAGAGAGAGAAGCAGGAAGGGAGGGGGTAGAGGGAGGGAAGGAGGGAAGAAGGGTAGGAGGGAGAGAGGAAGATAGATCTCTAATTCTAAATCAGTGGGGCAAAATTTTAACAAGGATATAAGGATTTTTACTATTCTTACAACTTCTCTGTAAGTTTGAAATCATTTCCAAATTAAAAGTTTGAAAACTACTCAAGAATTCCTAGAACGTCTTTATAAGCACTGCGGTAAGGTCTTAATATGGTACATTTCTGTCTGTTTATGTGGGAGTGGGTAGCAAAGGAGAGAGGAGAGAGAACCTAAATAATCATATTTAGTTTCAAAAGATAATCCTAGGAACTTGTGGAAAAGTACCCTGAAAAATATGGAAAAAACAGAAAATACTGCATTCTCAGCATTAACTTAAGCTCTAAAACAACAAATGCTCCTTTGTGAGGCCATCTCAGAAAGCAGGCCAATCTTTTCCCCCAGAAGTGATACTCACAAATCTGCACGTACTAGAAACTATCCTAGATAATGCAAATTGGCTCACTCTGAACCCCTTTACAGTTGCCTTTTTGTATTACAGGGCCTGGAAAACAAAACAAACTACCACCACTACCACCACCAAAAAACCCAACATTTTTCTGACTCCCTTGCAATGAGGTGGCTTTTGCATGTAATCTGACTTCCATCAAAGAAACAACCCATATGAGACTTAAAAGCAGAAGTCAGCAGTGTTGAGACCTTAGCTGCACATAGGCATTCAGATATTCTAGGGCAACTAGAGTGAAGGTTATGCTGTCTGATACTCAGTGTCTTAAGTATCAAGTGGTAAGTCAGAAATGATACGGTTTCTGTGACAATAGCCCCAAGTGCGTGTGTGTGTATTAGATCTTAGTATCTAGAATTGGCTCCCCGTCTGACCCTCGCCCCTAAAATTCTATAAGTTGCCCAAAGCTTTGTCATAAATCCTTTCTGGTTAAATTAGAGAAAGTAGATCCAGGTGTCTGAAACTAAGAACCTATACCACTATTCCAGAAAAATAATGATTTTAAATGTCTATAGTTCTAGCCTATGAATTTCAGTCTAATCATGTTAATAATACTACCGTTTATAAGTTAAAATGTACTTGGGTACTTAAACAATAATGTCAAGCATCATGACAAATGATTTAAAAACATTCGTATTAAATTCTTTATGCTCTGTGAAAGACTCCTTGGGAGAAGGACTGGCAGGGAAAATCACAGGATCACCAGGAGAGGAAACTAATCTTCTCAATAAGCCAATTCATGGATATGCTATTTTTATTTTTAAAAAATCAGATTATGTCTAATACGTTGAAAGAGAACAATTAAATTTGGAAAGTAACTTTACCATGTTGCTCCCTTGTCAAATCTTTAAAAGTCTTTGTACCTGGAGATTGATCTCTGCCTCGTAGAAGGTTAGGCAAGAGCAGTAATGTCGATCTGAGTCAATATCCGTCAGGACCACCACAAAGAACGTTGGCTGCTTCCTCTCTCTGGACAGCTGCCACCCACCAGGCTGACAAAACTAGATAGAATGGGAAAAAAAATCGTCACATTTTAAAGTATAAAATTTTGTATTCATTAATCTCTGAGAAATCTTAAATGTTCCCCTGTTTTAAAAAATGTCTACCTGATGTATGTCACTTACCTAACATTAAAAAAAGTTCATGGCTCGGTGCCCATTGCTCAGTGGTTAGGGCACTGGCCACATACAAGACTGGCCGGTTTGAATCCAGTCCAGGCCTGCTAAACAACAATGACAACTGCAACAAAACATTAGCTGGGCATTGTGGCAGGCACCTGTAGTCCTAGCTACTTGGGAGGCTGAGGCAAGAGAATTGCTTAAGCCCAAGAGTTTGAGGTTGCTGTGAACTGTGACGCCAGGCACTCTACCCAGGGCAATAGCTTGAGACTTTATCTCAAAAAAATAAAATAAAGTAAGTTCATGTACAGATTTGTAATGTAGAAAACTTTCATAAATGTACATATGCATTTTATGAAGACTTTTTTAATTGATTAGATTTTCTGCAGATTCTACTCTGAGATGTCAATTCTGAGACCTACGGCAGCATGCAGGAACACAGCATCAAAATGAAGGACTTTCCCTCAACTATGGGAATAAATCATGGAATAAGATAAGTTGAAAGTATGTATCATTGAAGGAAAACAGAATTTAAAATTTCCTTGTGAATCTAAGAGTCTTCAATTCAGTACAGTTGACAAAGATAGACCACATTCTGGGCTATAAAACACATTTTAACAAATTTAAAAGAAATCACACAATGTTTGCTCTCAAACCACAATAGAACTAAACTAGAAATCAATAACAAAGATAGCTGGAAAATCTCAAAGTATTAAGATTAAACAATATACTTTTAAATAACACATGGGTCAAAGATAAAATCTCAAGAGAAATTTCTAATGTTTTGAACTAAATGAAAATACAATTTATTGAAATTTGTGGTATGCAGCAAAAGCAGTACCTAAAGAAAAATTTAGAAAAGAAGAATTAATAACTCAAAATCAGTAATCTAAGCTTTAACTTTAGGAAACTAGAAAACAAAGAACACATTAAATCCAGAGTAGGCTGAAAATAGAAGTAAAATTAGAGCCAAAATCAATGACCTTGAAAACAGAAAATCAATAGAGAAAATCAATACCAAAAGCTGGTTCTTTGAATAGATCAAAAATATCAATAAGCCTCTAGCCAGGCTAACTGAGGCAAAAAGAGAGAAGACACAACTTACTAATATCAGAAATGAAAGAGAGCACATCAATACAGATCCCATGGGTATTTGCAAGATAATCAAAGAACACTATGAATAACTCTATGCTCACAATTTAGATAATCTAGATCAGTGGTTCTCAGTCTTCCTGATGCTGCGAACCTTTAATACAGTCCAAAGGGGTCATGACCCACAGGTTGAGAACCGCTGATCTAGATGAAATGAATCAATTTCTTTAAAGATATAATCTGCTGAAACTCACATAAGAAATAGAAAATCAGAATAGATCTATATGATTACAGAAATTCAATCAATAATAATTTTCTAAAACTGGTAACGACAGGCCCCAATAAAATCACTGGTGAATTCCACTAAATATATAAGAACAAATTACAGTCAGCCCTCCATATCCATGGGTTCTGCATCTGCGGATTCAACCAACCAGGGATCAAAAATATTTGGAAAAAAATATTTTAAAATACAACAGTAAAAAAATACAGTATAGCAACTATTTACATGGCTTTTGCATTACATTAGATACTATAAATAATCTAGAAATGATTTAAAGTTTTCAAGAGGATGTATGTAGGCTAGATACAAATATTATGCCATTTTACAGGTATGTGTAAGAGACTCAAACATCCTCAGATTTTGGTATTCTGGATGGTGGGAGAACTATTATATACCAATTCTCCTCAATGTATTTCAGAAGATAGAAGCAAAGGGAATACCTCCTAACTCATCCTAATTCACGTGGCCAGCATAACCCTAAAACCAAAACCAGACAAATACACTATAGGAAAAACCTCCACAGACCAATATCTCACATAAACATAAAAGCAACAATCCTGTACAAAATGTTAGCAAATTGGGCAATGCCTGTGGCTCAAAGGAGTAGGGCACTGGCCCCATATGCTGGAGGTGGTGGGTTCAAACCCAGCCCTGGCCAAAAAACTGCAAAAAAAACTATTAGCAAATTGAATTTGACAATGTATAAAAAGAACATCATGACTAAGTAGAATGCATTCCAAGGATACAAGGATGGATTGCCATTAAAAAAAAAATATATTACATCAATAGGCTAAAAGAATTAGAAGCATGTGATCATATCAAAAGATACAGAAAATGCACTTGATAAAATCCAACACCCACTGACAATAAAAATTCTCAGAAAACTACAAATAGAGGGGAACTTCCTCAGTTTGATAAATAATATGTACAAAAAACCTACAGCTAACATCGTACTTCATGATGAAAATTCAAAGATGTCCAACCAAGATTAGATATAAAGTAAGGATACCCCTCTTTCCACTGCTTCTCAACATTGTACTGGATGTCCTAATGCAATAAAAGGAAAAGGAAAGAAAAGATATACATATTGGGAAGAAATAAACAAATCTGTTTTTGTTCACAGATGACATGACTGTGTACTAAGAAAATCCAAAAAACCTATGGTGCATAATGCAAGGGTACTTGTTGGATTTATTAAGTATAGAGTATAAATGTCTTAACACAATAATTAGTAAACGAGATGAAGTTTATATTAACAGTGTGATGTAAACACTCCTAATTCTACACATTGTACCCCATACATGCATTAATGTATACACGATCTATGCATTTATGATTTAATTTAAAAAAATCCAAAAAAAAAACCTCCTAGAACTAATAAGCAACCATGCCAAAGTTCGAATGCAAGACTAATATGTAAAAATCACTTTCCTATATGCTAGCAATAAACAAGTAGAATTTAAAATAAAAACACAATCATTTGTATTAGCACCCCTACAAAATGAAATACTTAGGTATAAATCTAGCAAAATACATATAAGACCTTTATGAAGAAAATTTCAAAACTCTGATCAAAGAAATCAAAGAACTAAATGAATGGAAAGAGATTCCAGGTTCATGGACAGGAAGACTCAACATTGACAAGATATCAGTTCTTTCCACTCTGACCAACAAATTCAATGAAATCCCAATAAAAATCCCAGAAAGTTATTTTGCAGATATCAATAAAATGACCCTAATGTTTATAAGGAGAGGCAAAGACCCAGGATATCCAACACAATAATGAGAGAGAAAAACAAACCTGGGGGCTGACACCACCCAACTTCAAGACTTAGATTATAAAGCTATAGTAATCAAGGCAGTATGGTACTGGTAAAAGAACAGGCAAGTAGATCAAAGGAACAGAACACACAGCCCAGAAACAGACCCACTCAAGTACCTGCAACTGATCTTAAGTACACATGCAAAGTGCTTACCACACCTTAGCTCATGGTTCAGTGATGTAAATGATTGTTATAATTATTACCCACTTCAATCCAACCTTAGTTTCTATCAGCATCTCTTTGACATTTTCTTTCCTCTTTTGCCTAGACCTTTTCTAAAGCCTGCCCCTCTTCTGTCTTACTGCCCCCTTGTCTTAGTCTAGAAATATCAGAAAAGTAAGATCTGGACGATTTCTTACATTTTGAGAGAGACATTAATCATGTTCACAGCTTCAGTACAGAATGAAAACTTGTGTCTGGAAACATAAGGAATACATGAAGAAATAGCGTAAAAGACTTAAAGCTACCTTAATTAGCAAATAAGTAAAAACTTTTCTCTCTAGTACATTTTAGTCAGAAATACCAATTCATTCAGCACGTTATTTATTGATCACTTAAGTATCATTTATTCTACAAAGTCTTTGAAACATCCCAGTTTCTCCAGACCTTTCCAAACCAATCCCTCTCCTGTGCCATTTTTATTATAAATAACATTTTTATTATAACATTTTTATTATAAATAACAGCAACAATAAAAATAAAAATTACCCTAGAACTTCTTATCTATTTTACTAAGCTGGTATAGAAAAGTTGACATCATTGTCTTTATTTTGTGTGTACAGTTGTCCCTTGATATCCTTGGGGGACTGTTTGCAGGACCTCTGTCACTGACACATAAATCTGTGGACACTCAAGTTCCATAGTCAGTCCTAAGGAACCTACACATATGAAAAGTCAGCCCTCCGTACCCATGCATTTTTCTCTCAAAAATCCATCTGTATTAAGTTCTGACATTATAATTTAGGCTTATTTGTAATCTTAATATGTCTTTTGTTAATCTAGAATAGCAGCTCTCAAAGTATAACATACAGAATCACAGAAGTCCCCAAGAACAAAACTAGTTTCCTAACAGTATTAAGATAGTGGCTGTTTCTTTTACATAAGTAAAGCTGTTTGTTACAAGAATCAAAGTAGTGGCACCAAATTATAGTAGTAATCATTGAATTCCTCATAGCTGCACACTTGAAACTTTTTTATGTCAGTTTCCATTAAGAATGCCCTTGATGGCTCAGCGCCTGTGGCTCAAGCGGCTAAGGTGCCAGCCACATACATCTAAGGTGGCGGGTTTGAATCCAGCCCGGGCCCACCAAACAAC